CTTCAGTTCACAGGGCTTCTCCCGCTCCAAGTGGCGTGTGAGTGGCTGCTGCTGGCGAGTTGCACCCGGAGAGCTCAGCTAGAAAGAACTGGAGAAGTAAAGCACTTTACAAAAGCTGAAATTTTCACAAAAATGGATTTAGATTCTTTTTCTTGGAAACTGCAACAGCTAACCTAATTACCCATAACACAAATTTTGTTTTCAAAGACTGGCTGATGTTGTCTTGGCTGCATTATTTCATATTTAGCAAGCTTACACATTTTTAAAGGGAGTTTTTTTTGAAGTTTTTTGATGTTTGAATAGTAGCACTTTATCTCATGCTTACTACTGACTGAACTCTTGGATAAAATAAATTGGGTTTGGATAGAGATGCTTAATGGGTTTCTGTACAGAGATAATTTGGATTAGACCCTGGTACGAATACTTTCTGTTCCAACTGTTTCTGGTTTATTTTTCATATGTTACTGAGAGACTTTCAGATAATAGATATTAATAGTTCTATCATCTCAGTTTGCTGACTTAAAAATAAGTCTGCATTTTTAAAAAAGACCAGCTAGAAACTACAGGGTACTCATAAATTTATCTCTGTGATCTCTCTGATAACTGCATATTAGCTGTGTTTACTGTAAATGTTTCTGCTTAGCATTATTTTAACATTAGGTCAAAATACCTGGCAAATCAGTATTTTTTTTTTTTATCTTAACTTATTTGAATTTTGATAACTAAAGATGATAATGCACAACAAAGTTTAAAGAAGTTGTCATCCTTTTACTTCTAGGCCGGGGGCCTAAGACATGAGTGAAGGGGTTGCACAGTTTACATTAAGCTGTTGTTTAACTAGAATATATCCACAAAGACTAGACTATAAACTATCCGGTGCAATTATCTCAGCACATTTGGATACCACAATAACAACTTATAATAATTAAGGAAAATTAAGGTTAAAAAAAAGTAAGGTTTTGTTTTCTCAGTATAGCTTTGTTTTTAGTTTGGTTTAAGGTTGCTTCACTTATCACTGGTATCATTTTAACCAGTCGGTTTGGCAGGTCTGTTCATAGTTTGCATTCTTCTGTAATGGGTGCTATACTATGAGTAAATACAAAGGGAAGATCATCTCGATCATTATTAACAATGAGATGGTGGCAATATTTTTGCTAGTCGCTTCTAGTAATTAATTTGCATTTCCAGCTGTGGCTTTCAGCTGTCAAATTTCATCTCAGTTTCATACTGCTCAATGATCACACGTGTGAAGGAAATCATCTCAGAGTTGAACGACTCTTTGGTTGTTCAGGCTAACTCTGGTGTTTCTGTCTTTCTATTAATGTTGAGAGGATGGTGAAGTTTCTTCCCATCGAGGAGATGTTTGCCTCTAAATTAATTCAAAAGCACATGAGGGGAAAAAAATAAACCCCTACAAAACATAACATCTTGGCTAAGCAGCCAGGGTGGCTGACTGAAAATGATGGAAACTTGAAATTGGTCTACACTGGACAATGTGAAAAGAAATTCAGCTTTTGTCACTGCAGCTACTGTATGCTTTAAAAAGGGCCTTATGTATTTGTCCTCATTTTGATAAAATGAAGTTTCTTGCCAATAAAGTGATAAACTAACACTCTACAGAAAACCAGCAGTTCCCAGAATTAACATGCTAATTAAAGCTTAACAAATCTTGTTTTAGTCTTAAGTAAAATTTCATTCTATTATGTGAAAAAGATGCTGTTATGCATATTTTGTGGATATATTCAATTTCAGTTGACAATTAGATGTCTAGGTACAGACTTGAAAATATATATAGTTTACTTGTGGATCTTAATTGCTTAATTGCAAAATAAAGATGTGCTTTAGTAATTTAAAGTTTAATTTTTTGCTATTTTCTTGTTGCTGTACACACAGCTTTGTTATGCTACTTTGACAGAATTATGGTACCATATAATGTTCATCTTGGTGTTTTGCATTTTTAGATTGTATCTTGTAAGTATAATTCTGCTTTACTATAGATGAAAATGTGTACATTATGCACTGAGCACTCAAAAAAAAAAAAAAAGATGCTATATTAACAGGAATGAAATTGTTTGCCTACATAAAGAAAATGTGACATTAGCAGTGGAACCCAAGGATTTTTTACCTGAAAACGATATGCTGCAGTTTGCATTGTTCGGGAGAGTAACTCCATATTTAATCTTTTTTAGAGATTTGTTACATTTAAATGTATTTCAGAGACAAAGTACTCAGCTTAGAATATAGACTGATCGCAAAATGAGGGTCATGAAGACCACTAATGTCGAGAATAAAAATTATGGATGGCAACTTGCGATAGAAAGGGGAACAAATACTGCCAAAAAGTGTGGGGAATGTTCAAAGCTAAAGTAGCAAGAGAAGGATAAAGGGATGTAGAAAAGAAGATAGAGAGGATGAAATCTCAGGAGGGGCTGCCAAGATGTTCTTAATTCAACTTGATGATTTGGGGACTTTAAAGTGAGGAGACAGGGTGGTTGAAGTACTGAAAGATCAAGTACTGGGAAAGCATTTGAGGAGAGGAGGAAGGTAGTTATAAGATTTGGTGCCTACACTTGGACTCTGTCTGAGAGTAACTGGAGAGGAAGGGTCAGAGTGTAGTTGCATTGACGAAGAGAAGTATCCAGTGTCTTCACTGGATATGAAGTGGACAAGTGGAGATGTTTGTGCCATTGAAGTGATGGGGGAAGCTGAGAACCACGAAGAGGTGGCAAGGGAGTGAAGAGTAGAAAAGAAGCTCATTTGGAGGAAAAACGTGGAAGAGGGGTGGCAAGTTGAACTGGATGTGCTCTAGATAGTAGGTAATGTGTTGCACAGAACACTTAAATAGGAAGATGCTGAGTGGTGTACACTTAACCAAGGGCAAAGAGAAACATTTGTGTGATACAGGTCTCTGCTAAGAGCTAAGCATCTTTTTTATGCAGATGATTAGCTAGGTGATCTGCACTGTGAATATCCTTAATATATGAAAGCTTCCAAGATAAATGAATGGGCACTTTTTTTTTCTTCTATTGAATGTAACAAATTTTCCTTTTTTTTTTTTTTTTTTTTTTTTTTTTTTTTTTGAGCAAGCGCAGTCCCTGCCCCTCTGGTAGTAAGTATCCATATGCCACCATTCTGTGACTTGTGTTAATGATTAAAATTCCAGGCATGAACCTGAACCTCACCTTTTCCCCACACCTGCCTTGTTCCTTCTGCTTCGGGTCCCTCTGTCTGAGATGTTATGGTGTTAAAATAACTGATAATTAACTTTAAAATCAGCCTGCCCCTCAGCCTGCAGGGTTACCAGCAGATCAGTACAGAGAATGTGCTAAAGCAGTTCTCATTATAGCTAATTTGTCTGCTTGGCTAGTGAGTTAAGAGTTAACTTGGACTTTCTTTTAGCCAAGTTTAAAAGGTAATAAATAAATATCTGTGGGATGATTGATCCCAATAACAAGCTGTAGTCTCCACTTCTAGAGATGGTGTTAGGTGTCTGGATTCTCAAATATTGTGGCATTTTAAACAAATCTGGAGTTAATTTACCTATTGCATTTTTACCATTAGTGAGCAATATACTTTGTAGGTGGAGTTTGTTAACTTTCATGCCGTTTTCTGTCTTAAGGATCTCAAATAAAATACCTTGAACACAGCTATGTTTACAAAAACATACATTCCTAAATGAAGTGCAGCCCTTAGTATTTACTAGGGCTAAACACAGAGGGATTTTCCCTCTAGATGGGAACAGCAAATGAGAAAAATGTCCCCGATCTGTATTTTGAGCTGGTATTTTCAGAGGATGTTCAAAAAACAAGCTGTGTCCCCAGCAGGGTCACACAACCTGTGCTGAGCGTCTGCAACCCGCACAGTTGCAGTGTGTAAATTCCTTGTATTAGTCTGCAGATGATTCTGCTTTATTTACCAGACACTACTTCTTGCTGTGCGTGTCCCTAAAGGAGGTGTTCCAGAAGCTTCAGCGGCCCGCGAAGGGGGTTATTTCAACCTCAGCGTGAGGAATGTGGTTGTCTGAGGGTTTTTGTCCTTGAGGATTCATTACAGGTAAAGGAGGGATTGTGCTCTATCTTAAACAGAACTTTTACGAAAGTGGAGGTAGGCACCCTGAAGCTTCGGCTTAAACCTCCACGGTCTTAGAGAATTCCCCAAACTAAATATATATATATATATTTTTTTTAATTATTATTTGAACTCTCTGGGCGCTGCCCGCAGCGCGGCCGGCCGGACATGGCGGCGCCCCTCAGGCCGCGCTCCCGCCTCGCGCTCGCCACCGCCCCCTCCCTCCCGGGCGCAACCACCTGGGCTCGCGGCGGGGGGGAGGGGCGTCTCCCCCGCCTCCTCCAGTGGGACCTGCCCCCTTAAAGGGGCGTTGTCCGCCTGGCGCCGCGCGGGTCCGGGGCGCTGCCCGCGCCTCCCCTCCGCTCCCCCTGCGCGGTCGCGCGCCACGCGCGGGGCTCCGTCCCGCCGAGCGGCTCCGTCCGGCTGAGCGGCCGCGCGGGACCGCGAGCAGCCCCAGGTGAGTTGCCGCTGGGTCACCCGCCGAGGTGCTCCGGCG